GCAGATCTACAGTGGAGGAAAAATGGACAGCAGCACAGAACACATACAGCCATATGTTACTTCAATTTGTCACTTATTTTCATATCAGTTTGACTGCACAATATGAAGAATGGTTTGACTTCTTTCATAACAGAATTACGACAATCTAGTATTAAATCCCTTAGTCCAGTCTTTATCCATTTTGTCTTGCCTGACAATGAGAAAACATGACTGTCAATAAACAACTGGAACAATAAGATGCCATCAAATATGGTTATGTGTTCACAGTTCCTTTTTAAACTACGCAGCTCTGTTAAGTCTCACCACCAGGTATAACATGTAAAGAGAAAAAACACTCCAACAGGACCGTGTTTCTGCTGACAGAGCAACCTAATGAATGAACTTCTCATGTGTTGCATAACAGTTTGTACTTCCACTCACATGTGAATGCCTGTGTGAGACTGTTCTTCTGCGTTTGTGCAGCCTTCCATTATTGATTATGTGCTCACCATGTGCTCAGCTGCAGCAGGGCCAGTCAGACTAATCCGCTAATAACAGAGGCAGAAAAACTGGACTCGACACAAAGGCCAGACCAGGGGCTGAGTGAGGGGCATCTGCCTCCCATCAGGCACTGAGGTTACACAGCACACTATAGATGAACAGTTAGTTTGGAGGGATAACTGTAGGTCTTTTCTGTGTAATGAATGTTGAATATTTAATCATGTGTTGTGTGTCTGTTTCCATATCTCTGTCTACATGTCTATCTGCCCTCACTGTGTTTGTACTGTAGGTACACAGCTATGCAGCAAACTAAACACACTCCCAATAAAGGTTGAAGATAGCAGCTGTTTAATAGTTGTCACTGGAAACAAGTGTGAAAACAGTATTACACATCAAATTCAGTTATGCTGTTGAGAAATCAGAAAAGAACAAGATACCATAAAAACATTAATCCCAAGTCTTAAAATTCACGAAAACAGTTGCAAGGAAACTGGATTCACTGACAGATTAGTTGGTGTGTCTCTTATGCCATGAGCACCACCAGCTCGTGGTGTAAAGATCTGGTTTGTGCAAATGCATTTGTTTTAAAAGGAATTGAAGGAAAGATGCATCCTATCATACCTCGGTCAAGTGACAGAAGTTCTGACATTTTATATCGAAAAGGTCAAAGGTCAGCTTCACTATGACATTATAATGTTCTGCAGAGACACTTCTCTTGTAATTACTCAACGTGATAACTCAGGAACAGAACTGGAGACATGTCTTCAGATACTGAATTGTTGACACTAATCTTGGGTGTCCACCTTGACACTGTGCTGATTGTATAGATCTCCTATGCTGCCATGTTGAAGATGTGTATGAAGCGTACACGTTTTAGACTATGCAGCTTCTGTGCAGCAACATCCATATTTGAAGCATTGTTAATTATCATGGCTACATATGAATATCGATGGATTTGGATGTAAACTGTAGGAGCAACTTGATCTGGTTTGCAGAGGCATACAATCATGAGGTGGAAATTCTAGTTTTTAACACTATTTTTCTTTTTTAAACAGCTTTTTTCAGGATGCATAACAAATTGGAAATGTTGTTTGTGGCCAGGGCGTAAAATTAACACCCGCCAAGCGCCAATGGCGGGTAAAAAATGAGTTTGCTTGTAAAACAAAAACACATACCCGCCAGTGGCCGATGGAAAATTTTGAATTGCATGTGGGTTTTTTATGTGCTTCGACCATTTCTGCCAGCTGTGTCCAGGGACAGTTTTTGCCATGGGCAATCTGGGCGACCGCCCAGGGCGCAATCTATGTATTTGTATCTATGCAATCTATGCGCCCTCCAAGAAAACCAAAAAAACAAAAAAAAAACTCACCAGTTTTCTAGACTACCGCTCATTTCCATGTCAAGTTAGTGGAGTGGGTGCCCCATTATCACGTTTCAACCAGCAGCAGAAAGGAAAGGCGAATCCTAGAGGTTGTGGGTTAAACGGGGGTCACAGACAGGAACACGGCGGAGGCTCATAGTGCTCTTCGGCGAAACCGGCTTACCGGCGACAGAGAAGTCCGACTCCAGGTCCAGTAATTTTCTCTGTCGTTGGCGTCATGACTGCCCAGTAGTACCTGGACAACCGAGCCGTGGCGGCACACAGGTATGTGGCGTGTCAGAGGAGAAACAAGTGGTTCACATTTCCACAAACCTCACCGCACTTTAGGGACTGTTCTTTACTTATGGAGGGACTGTCAGGGGAGGAGGGTGGCTGGTTGATTTTTATTTTATTTTTTTATTTTATTTTGATCCCCCCTATGTTAATCACTTATTGATGCTGTTTTTGAAGTATGAATAAGTCAATAAGTAATTTATTCCATTGAAATATCATTGATGTATTATAGAAAAGTGATTTATCTTTTTATAAATGACAAAAGGCACATCTGCCTCATTTTTGCTGTGGTATCGTGATACTACAACTGCAGCCTTTGCCACAAGCACGCCAAAGAAACACAGAGGACAGGTTTTGATTTTCCTAAAGTTGGATTTTCATACTAAAAACGTAAGGTAATTATTTTTCATCAAATAAGGCACAATTTTTTTTATTTGGCTGGTGAAAATTATGTTTGGCCGGTAAATTTTTGGAGGTCACTAGCCAATGGCAGTCAGATGAGGTAAAATGTTAATTTTACACCCTGTTTGTGGCCATGTAAGATTGATTACTGTAATATGACAATGTGAAACAAAGCAAACTTTATGAAAACCAAAGACCACAGGAACAGTGCCAGTCTCTTGTGAGCTTGGGTCCATGGATGCAGAAGATACAGATCATTTTATACTCAACAGTCGAACGTTTTTGGCTTCATGCACCACTGAGCAACTTTCACAGGAATGAACGGGGCCCTGCCTCCATTGCTGTATCAAGTTCTCTTTATACATGTGCAGTAAAACCACATCTCGCAGTATATTTCATAAATAATATAAATATATTATAAACCTGTCTGGGAGGAAAAGGGCCGATTCAGGATCAGTTTTGAATCCTTTTAAATCCTACAATTCTCTCCATCTGTTGAATGACTGATTAAGGTTGACTTGCTTTCAACTGTCCTCTGCCTCTGTCCCTTTAATGTTTCAACAAGCAGTAGATAAAAAAATATGTGTCAGTATTTGTGTGGTCAGATCTGATATAATGCTGGATGTAACATTAGCTTAACTGCTATTGAATTGTGCCAGTAGGGATAACAGCAGATGTTCAACTGAAACCAACACTGGTGGCAGAGTAATTTGCCCAGTATGCTTAGAATAAAAAACTTTATGTTGCCCCAAAGCCAAATTTCAGTGCCACAAAAAGTCATGCTACAGGAGGCGTTGGTCAAGCTGTCATAAGTGTTGACTGTCATTGTGTGTCATAAGTGTGAACACACTGACACACATGGTCAGGCATGCACACACACTAACACACACACACATGCCCCATCAGAGTACAGTATGTTATCTCCTACATACATTCACAGAGCTATTGTTCTATACTTCTAGGTGCGGGTCACCCTATCCTGCTTCTTTAATTATGCACGCTAAGAAGGCCCCCCCCGTCTGAGGTCTGCGTCCAGGTGATGCTGTTCCTTGGTCTGACAGTTTATTGGCTGGTCCAGAGTAAAGAGGCAACACCTGCTGGATTTCCTGCCCTAACATTTACCTTTTTCCATCAGAATTATTTTTTTAAAACCTCCAAGCATTTATCCACCGTCACATTTTAGTGATTCAGCAGTCTCTGGACCATATTGTAAGTATTGCATGTATACTGTGTGCATTTAGATAGATATAATATGCCAGATCTTGTATGAAAAATTAATAGATGCAGAACTTAAGTGATTTAATATGTTGGCGTATGACAAAAAAAAAAGATTTTGAATTTCTGTTGAGATATTTGCAGGGTTAAACTTTATTCTTTCAAATAAAAACACATCATTATATAATTTGTTTGTTGTCTGTTGTCATGGTAGGAATTTATTTGACTTGTTGGGTCAAATAAATTCCTACCATGACAACAGACAACAAACAAATTATATAATGATGTATATAATTTGTTTGTTGTCTGTTGTCATGGTAGGAATTTATTTGACTTGTTGGGTCTTTATAAAGTTAAAGAGCATGGTCTAGACCTGCTTTATATAAAATGTGTCCTTGGGTTAACTTGTGTTATGATTTGATGTGATATAAAAAAAAATTACTTGACTTTTTAACCGGAAAAACCTGAGATCAAATTAAATCTCCTTTTCAAGAGTGTTCTGGCTTAGATAGGCAGCAACAACAATGAGTTACAGACAAACAACACCAGACAAATAACACAGTGTTTTAATTCCATGTATACTGCAAACTTTTGCCAGTAACAGGTGGAATGAAAACGTTAGAGCATTAGATGCACTAAATGCTTTCAGTCACTGGCGGACTGAAGATATTAGATGATAAACTCGACATTAAAATCTTTCATAATTACAGTAATGCATGTTGTAGAGCATATACTACTCTTCCACTAACAAGCTATCTGACTTCTCATGCTGCTTTGTGCATCTAATTGGGAGAAGCTCTGTAATTGTCCGTGTAGTATTTAGGTACTGAATGGCGTGGTGCCTGTGAGGAAGTCCTGTGAATCAGAAAGGTTACCCGACGCAGGATATCATGTCTCTCCAAACTCTAACACACTTTCTCCTGCACTCTGTGTGGGCTACGCTACCTTCACTGAGCGGGGTCCTGTTTCACCACTTGTTGTTTTTGTTCCCGGTACTACGAGCTGTGGCCTGTGTTCTTTAAATTGAGCATGTGTGGCATCAAGGGGGTCTCGGCCTCTTAGAAGATTACTTTGGAAGCGTTCATAGTGTGTGATGCTCTGTGTCGCATTTCCCTCCTGGAGGGGTCCTCCTCTGCTCACTTTGTCTGGTTGTGTCATTGTTTATTGTTGTTCTTGTTCTTGTTGTCATTTTCAGAAAGAGGAGCTCTGGCTGCCTTAGAAGTCCTGACTGTGACGGAGCAGAGCCAACATGGAGAACAGCAAGGTGACCAATCATCAGTGCAAGGACTGAAACACCTAAACTTAACTTCAGTGAAACATGTGTACTGTAGGAAAGGAGTCGTTATTAATATTAGCTTTACTTTTCCTGCTATGAATGGTCTAAATTTATGCAACATCCAAAGGGGAGACTGACAGAAATAAATGTGAACCAAAGCCTTTGAGTACGATTATCTGCTGAGTTAGATTGTACGTTGCGCTAAATCTCAAAAGAGGAAATGCTTATAAAAAACCTCTAAGTAATTTACATGAGAAATATCAGCAAAAATAAGCAGTATAAGATTAATATTGTCATTCATGATTGACCTTTCTATACTGTAAATGAGCATGAGCTTGTCTACAGTATAAAAGCTATAGCCTTGACTTGAATAAACTGACTGTATGTATCTTTTCTTTGCCTCCCTTTTTGTGTCTTTTTATCCACTACTCAAAAAAGAGCCCTTCTCCTCGAAATGATGTTCACATACAGTTAATTTGAAAAAACAAATACATTTTGAGGGAAACATGCTGAGCAAATAATGTTTTGTCACAAAAATGTTGATACTGAACATATCAGCAAAATGTTCACTAACCACTATGGCTGCGTATTGTTTAAAAAATGACGATACCAGTACCCTTAAAGTGATACCAATAGACTACTTCTTTCAATACCCTTAAAGTGAATGGACGTTATCTAACATTACATAATGGTTAAATGACAGAGTCAGGTTGTTTCAGGGTGACTTTGTTGCAACTGTTTAACAGCTGCTGTTGTGTTCGGTCTTGCAAAGCGGGTAGATGTTGAACTGACCTTTCGTCGGGAGGAAGGTGGATTCTGGAGACGGCAGCAACAGAAAGTTTACTGATCTGATCTAGTAGGGTGTTGGTAAAGTCTAGGATCAGAACCCCGGCGCAAAAAGGGCCAAAATAGAGATCCTTCCATACTACGTGGTACTGGGATATTTTGGTTGATACCTTAAATGTGTTGAGTACTGATACCCAGCCCTACAAACAACGTATTTCATTATTGTCAAAATGTTCAATGTAGAATATAGGCACCAAAACAAAAATGAATCACTGAATCTCTTAAAAGTTTCCAGAAAATAAGTAGGCATGGTATGTTTCTGCAAACTACGGACATATTACATTTGTGGATACATTATAACTTTATGTTTCCACATGCTGTGGTAATGTGTGGTCATGTTTCGGCACAAAAACCACTGGTTATGATTGGGAAAAGATTGTTTTTTGGCTCAAAATACCCAGTTTTGGAGGCACAATCCCTGCTGGAAAAGCAGCAAAGTTTCTGCTATGTCTCAGTAAAAAAGCTGCTTTTCATGGCACTATCCTGGCTGAAAATGTAGTGATGATTCTTTAAAAAAAACAACCATTTTTCATGGTACTATCCTTGATGGAAAAACAGCAGTGAGTCACTATAAAATCACCCACGTTTGGTGTCTAAAAACCTGCTGGAAACACAGCAATGACACAGCAATGTGAAATCACAAGCATCACCTCCACCACCTAATGACAAAGTCAGCTCATATTCTACTTCACTTTAAAAAGTGGTGTCATATGAAACATGCAACGTAATGTATTCGTGGTTTGCGGAAACGTACAATACAAACATTTTCTTTTGGTGACAGGACTGGCAGCAGCATATAAATAAAAGCACTTTTTAGTGTAAGTGGGAAAACAGTGTTGAACTGTCCCTTTAAACATGACTCACCCCTGCTGTGTGTGTGTGTGTGTCCCCAGCAGCCGGTGAAGGAGGTACTCCCCCTGCCTCGCCACCCTACCCCACTTCCTGTGACCTCTCCCTCTCTGACCCCCGCTGCCACTTCAAAGAAAATCACCCCGGGCTCCATGCAGCATGTACAGGTGGCGTCCTCAGGTGATTAACAGAGACACCACATGTTTGCATTTCATTATGTACAACTGAAAGTGAACTGACACTAGACACAATATTTTATACAAGACTGGTACTTTTTATTGAGAAAGAAAGAAATACTGATTCATTTTAAAACTCTATTTTTGACATCTGGCCTTTGCTTCATTTGTTTACAGTGGTGACATCATTCACTTATCTGAAGCCTCCAGAAAGGGACCTCACCCTGATGTCCCACATCAAGTCTATTAAGTCTCTGAGACAGGCCGGCCTCACTGCGGTCTTCACTGGACAAACGGTACGACCTTCAAGATAAACATAAACTCTGTATGAAGTGCTAAAGAACATTAAAGTTGGCTGATATTGTCTTCAGGATACACAGGGAATAACACTTAAACAATGTGAACTGTACATGGGTAGATGTTGTGGTGTTAAATTTGTTCTATTGGCATCACAGGGGTTAAATGCATGCTACAAAGAGCAAGCAAGAAAGAATAATATAGACCTGTGTGAGGTTTTTATGATGATATTATTTTCACAAACCCGGCTGTATCACTGACGGTCTGACTGTCTTACATGGCTGAACACTGACAGAAGCTTGAGAGTGAGGAGCTGCTGGAGGAGGTACCAATCATCGATGTGATCCTGGCTGATGTCGACTCCCTGGTGCCCACTCACGACGAAGCCGGCCGCCCCATAGCAGAGTGGAAACGGCAGGTGATGGTGCGACAGCTACAGGTCAGGCTGCAGGACGAGGAGGAACAGAGGAGACAGGTACACATGTGTACTTTTATGTGCTATGTGTGAGTCTGTGGTCATATATGTTGGCTGTATGTGTTTACATGAATACAAATCTGTGTACAAAATCATATTTAGCAGGATAAGAAGAGGAAGATATTGGTTAAGGTAGTGGTCCTCAGACTTGGGGTCCGCTCTCAAGGGGGAGAATAGAGCCTCAGAATTAAAAGAGCAAGTAGCAGGATTGGACCCTCTGTAAAAAGAAGTCTTGTAAGCTTAGAGTACTATAAGTAGGCAGATAATAACAAGCAGACCACAAGAAAACAGGCAGCAAAACTCTAATCAAATGATGAAGGAAGTGGACTGGTATAAATGGTGAGAGTCTGATGGGGGAAGTGGGAAAAGGTGAACAGAATATCTGGAGACTGCAGGGCTAATGAGGGACAGGTGAAACTAATCAGGGTGAGGCAGACAATTAAAACTGGCACAAAGGCAGGAAGTGAAGTGATCTGAAACCAGAGGAGAGGTGAGTAACAAAATAAGACAGGAAGCAATAAACACAAGAGAATGATTTATATGTGCCACGGAAAAACATAACCTCGGAGCAGGGCAGAGCATGACATCAGGGAAAAAAGGGGAGAGCGTCTAACATGGTAGACCTTAATTTTAGAAGAAATAATATGCAAATAAAAATGCTCTGTTGCTAGCAGGGCTGTCAAGACTCAAGATTTGACATGTAGTAACATAAGATGTACAGACTCCGCAAAGAAGAAAAAAAAAAACATCTGTCGAACAGCAAAAAACTCATTCATATTTAAAGTACTATTTCTTGGCTGGAAGAACTGACTTTCTGAAGTTGCGTGATCATTGTGAGGTTGGAAATTACTTCTCCTAGACAATAAATAGTCTGGTATATAACCCCCCATAAAGCTGCAACATGTTGTTTTTGCACCTGTTTTTTATGTGTTGATCAAACGAGGTATAACTTGTTAATTAGTGATCTTTAGAGGGGCTGGAAGACAGATTTAGTCACCTTAAGACAGAGCCTGGTTAGTGTTTCCCCCTATTTACAGTCTTAGTGCTAAGCTAAGCTAAGCTAAGCTAAGATGATACTGAATGGACAGGCGTGAGAACGGTATCAATTTTCTTATTTAAATTTTGGCAAGAACGCACATAATAAAAATGTTAAATTGCTCCTTATACAAAATCATCTCAAAGGATCGTTTGTTAAAATCTCTTCTCTTCTCTCTCTGTCCCTCTAACAGGGCCTGACTAACGGCTACACTCCAGTGGATGGCTGGAAGTACTCTCAAACACACAACGCAGTCTTGGGGCCCTTTGGTGAGCTGTTAACAGAGGATGACCTGATGTACCTGCAGCAGCAGATTGAGACTGTTTCACTGCAGAAGCGCTGCCAGGCCTTTGAGCTGGAGCTGACCAGGTTGACCGAGGAACTGAGGGCCATTTTACCCGATCCAATCGTAAACATCTCCCTCAACAAAGAGGTCCTACAAAAGATGGACGCAGAGGGAAAAGTGCACCCGACTCTGCCAGTGTGGTGCAGTCGTGTGTCAGAGATTGTTCGGAGCATGTCACTGCTTGTGGCTAATCTGACCCACACTACAGAAGAAGAGGATGAGCGGAGGATAGAGGAAGGCGTGATGATGGAGGGGAATGGTTTGCATGGAGTAGGAGATAGTTTAGGAACTGATTTAGACCAGGGCCAAGAGACGGTGCCAGCACATGGTGAGACCTCTAGTGGATGTAGGATTCCTCATATAGGGATGGCGTCTGCTTTTAGCCATCGTCTGGAGACCAACAGCTACAGCAGAGCACGGAGGGAGAAGGTGGAGCGGGAGATCCAGCAGTCTGGGGTGTCAGTCAGAAACCTCAGATCCAATTTTGAGGGTCAGATTGGTGGTATTTATCCCTTTGCTGGGGTTGTGAAAGGAGGCCAAGGGTTGAACAGCCAGGTTGTGTTTGGAGCTTCAAACAACCAGCATGCTAACACAGTTCTCAGCTGTGACGTCAGCCTCTGCGATCCTCCTACGAAACTTATACCTGTGATGGAGACGACCAGCTTAAGGAAAGAGCGTATAGTGGTACTGTTCCTGAGCCACTGGAAGAAATCTGCATATGCTATATCAGTGAGAGCAGCGATGCAGAGACAGGGACAGGAAGCAGTGTCAGGGAGAGTGACGGGAGCATCACCCCAACAGAAAATCACCTCCATGTTTCAATTCTGCCAACAACGCGGTGCTGTGGACAAGATGCTAAACTCCTGGAGGGGTAAACTAGAACTCAAAGACACACCAAAGTCCTGTTTGTCCTCCTCTAACTCCTCACGGAATCCACCACAGAGAGTAACCTTCTCCCCGGAGCAGTTCCTGCCAGACGTGGATGGCGTCGCAGTGACCCACGACAGCTTGACCCTCGAACTCTTCATGCTAGGATACTTCCACATCTTAGAGCAGGAGCTGTCGCCCGAGGAGAGGAAGATGAGGCATCTACTCTGCTTCGAAGTCTTTGACCACGTTGGCAGTTTCTCCTGGGAGATGGTGAGGGACTTCCACAAGGCTGTTCTCCAGGAAATCCAGGCCGGGAGTCGACAGTGGAGCGACGGCTTCGAGGACATCAAAGTTCGCTTCTTTGGGGACTCGAGACCCTGCCGCTGTCCCTTGCCAGCATCATCATCATCACTGTTGCCAGATTCCAGACTCGTGCCCAAAGTTATAGTTCAAAGTGCTACTCCGGATGAGTGCGGCAGTGACACGGACTTCTCTTGTTTCAACAATGAGGACATTTGTAAATACATTGACCGCAGCTTTGCTTTCTGGAAGGAGAAGGAGGCAGAGCTGTTTGATTTCGAACATTAAGGTTAGATTTGACATTTTTGCACAAGCTGATGACATGTTGATATGTTTATTCTGACAGGAGATGAATAAAAGTCTATTGAGAATGCATTATTGATGCATTGTTATTGCAAATTGAATTGATAATTACAGTTATTAGCTGTTGTTTAAATCCCGCTTACTGACAAACAAAGGCCTCCAAATTATGCATCTAATCTTCCTTTATGTCTATTTTCTGGAAACACAAAATGATCCTTACCACTTTAAAAAGATTAACACAGTATAAAACAAAAATTAAAAAGTGTGTGAGAGAAACATGGATCAAGAGAGGAAAGACGTGGGCTCAACAGACTACTCATGCATAGGGCCCAGAATTTGGTGACGTCCCTGCTTGTAATACCACTTGTGCATGGAGAGGCGATAGTGAGTCACTGTAGCATCTGTCCTGCCCTCAGTCTAACATGAGAGGAGGAGAAGTGAAGTCTGATAGTTACTGTTGTTTTGAGATAACAGAAATCTCTGTCGAAATAAAGTTCAGTGGTCTTTTTATGTCGTCAGCTGCCTCCTCTGCTTTTGAAATCCACAGTCCTGGTGTGGTTGGGTCAGCAGCTTCAGGCTGGTATACAGACAAGCTAACCATTTGTCACTTGTTCAACTCTTTGATCTTAAATTGTTGTCTCAATCCAAGCACTGGTAAAGCCAAAATATGTCTAGAGTCAGACAATCAAAAGTCTGATATCCAAGATCCCAAATCTGTTGTTTCCAGGTATAGACTGTTGAAAAGCCAACGAGCACAGGAAGCACAGGCAGTGCAACTCATGACAACACAAACCGTTCTGAATAACATTTCAAATGACACTTTATATGATGAAGATGTTTTCTTTCTACTATGGTCTTGCTAAAACTGCCACATGTGAAGCTGATAAGATAGAATTTTTATGTTGATGCACTCCCAGAGTTTCAGCAGTTTGGGTGAGTTTTGCGTATTCTTGCCCTGCTGTTAGTTAGTAGTCGGCTTAGAGGTGAAATGCTTCCTCCTATTAGTATGGAGCATGTGTCCAGGTATTACACATTGCACCTTTAAGATCTCAGAGGATTTTTATAATTTGGTAACACTTCGTTGCCACTTCAAAGAACACTCCACTAAATTTAAATGTCAAAGTCAATTTGCTAATCAAGTATTGCTAAGCATGTGAAAACAGTTGTATGATGTGTTCCCTGAAGTGATCGTGGGTTGGTCTGCATACAAACTGGGGGCTTGGAGTTTATATATATATATATATATATATATATATATATATATATAAAAATTATTTATATTGTTATCATTAATGCATAAATCTTTAAAGGGCCAGTGTGTAATATTTGGCATGGTTTATTGTCAATCTGAATCTGAATCTGAATATTCTACCTATTAATATGTTTATACAAGTGTATAATCGCTATAAAACAAAATTCGTTTGGTTTTCATAGCCTTATAGTTATGCTTTTATATATATATATATATATATATATATAGCAAGGGCCTTGCTTTAGAGAAGTCGCTGTCTTGCGCTGCCATGTATGTACGGCAGACCGAGTGGACAATCCAGCCAGCCAGAGAATGTGTTTCGCGTGTATAAATGAATCAACGAAGACAGCAGAAGGAAGGAAGAAGGAGGAAGAAACAGCAGAGAGTGTTAGTAGCTCCTCGATGGAGAGTAGTGAAAAGTTTTTTTAGTTATAAAGTTTGCGAATGGACCACACTTATCACGCAACAGGAGAGAATGAACCCGAACCGTCATCTGCGAGGAAAAGAAGACGCAACTTCACTCCTTGTGATGCACTCTCTGCTGCGCTTTTCCTCCTGATGATATATCTCCCCAACGATGGTAGCAGTAGCACCGAATCCCATTCTGTGCATTCAGCCTCTCTTCTCACCCGCTCAGCATCAAACACATGGAGTTCCTCATCTGTATGCTCCGGCTCAAACAGGTATGGCTCTGGGTCTGTGTCCGCTACAAGAAACTCTTCAAAATCGCGTTCAAAGTCGTCCATTGCAGCTACTATAGTCCGGAGATATTGCTAGGCTAAATAAAAAGCTGAGCTCTGTTTACCAGCTACGCTGTCAGTCAGTGTGCGGGCTGGAGATTGGTGGAGCAGAGAGGGGAGGGGGGTCCCCATTCGGTATGGTAAACGAGTATGTGTGTAAAGTTATGGAGTGTGTCTGTTACGCTAGAAGAGTCAGAGTTTGGGACGGAGTCTTTTACCCTCTGGAGTGTTACTGGAGTTTCTGGAGTGCTCAAATAAACGGGCCTTTTTCCCGAACGCTCCTCTGGTCTCCTGCTCGTGAGGGATTCATTACAATATCATAACATGGCTTAGATTTCTAAATAAACATTCACTTTGTTGCTAGATAGACCTACTCCTGAAAAACTCGTGCGCAAGGCTTTTTGTCCCTACGAGGCCACCGTCATTTACCCGACGGGAGGGGTGAGCGAGTGAGCCCTGCAATCTAGAATTTGACCACTGATGTCACTGTTTTCAACCCATTTTACACACTGGCCCTTTAAGTAGCACTGTAATTTTGCAGCTAGTTGAAGATTTAATTAATCTATTGATTGTTGGATCTATAAAATGTTAGTAATGAATGAACGCCAATTTTATATAGCCGAAGATCACATCTTCAAATTATCTGACCAACAGTCTGAAACCCAAATCTGAACCCAAAAAAGCTACATTTCAGAAACTGGAACAAGGGTCATTTTGAGATTTTCTCGTTAACATAAAAGCTAAGCAGTTATTGCAGATGTAGTACAGAATTCAGGGGGATATATTGGCAGAAGTGGAATACAATATGATAAATAAGTTTTCTTTAGTGTTTAATCACCTGAAAATGAGAATCTGAGTGTGCCATGTTGCACCACAGTAGTTTCCACAGTAGTCCAGAGCGGACAAACATGGTAAACATGGTTATAGATAGGGCCATTATCAGACTGAAGCCAACAAAGAAAGGACTCAGATGCAGGACTCAAAAAACACAAGGTGTTTTTACTGAAAAAACACAAAACGGTGCACAAATAATCAGTCCAAAAATGTTAACAAAGGTATCCAAAGGCAGAAGGCTTAAGCAGATTCAAAATGCAAAATCAGGCCTAGTCTAAAGACACTAGGGAAAATGGCTGGGACATACACTCAAATGTCTGAGAACCATTTGGCAACAGACAAAGGACAGCACAAGGACTAATACACAAGCGAGGAGAGGTAATGAAGGACAGGTGAAACCAGTCAGGGTGGGGCAGCTAATCACACAGGAGGGAAACACACAGGGGTGAGAAGTAAAGTACCTGAAACGAGAGGCAACAGTGAGTATCAAAGTTAAACAGGAAATACTGGCAAAAACTGAAAACAAGGACAACATGACCTTAATGGGGACCTCAGGGTGTAACAGCCATTCTTTTTTCCACTTCAGCCACCGTAGCTGGCGGCTCTTCAGCATTGAGTGAGTGTCAAAAAAACAATGAGTCTATTTGTTTTGGAAAAGAAAAGGCCTCTGCAGATAATTCTGCTGCCTTTAAAAACCTCCTGAAAAAAATGAACACTGAAAGGGTGCTTAGAAGTTTTAGCTGGTTGCAGTCTTCAGTCCTCACCTCTAGATGCCACTAAATTCTACACACCGCTCCTTTAAATACTTTATATAGTGTTGTGCATTTCATCATTCACAATACGTCACATTTTATAAGATGATATGTTTTACCAGAATATATTTAATTTGTGAAGTCACTACAGCTGTCAGATAAATATAGAGGAGTAAAAAATACAATATTTAGAAACTTAAACTTTAACTTAAAACACAATGACTGAAGTACCTGAGTAAATGTGCTTTGCTTTTCACTGCTGGTTTTATCTGCTATCACTATGATCAACCAAACCTACATTCACCTTGATGTAACAGTAATTAATGTTTTATTATTTTTTATCCTATATCTACATAAAAAAACATAGTTTCCTACAGAAAGGTGACGGATTGAAATAGGTGAGGTCGCGCAGGCGCACAAGCACCCTAAAATTGACAGGAGGATGCTGAGCTGCATTCCCATCATTCTGTGAGGAGAGGAGGATCCCCCTGCGCACCCACAACGGAGGAGACGCCGAGCGATAAGAACATATAAAATAATCCAAGTTGAGCTCTTTATCTGCCACCATGTCAGCTGGAGGAGATTTGGGGAACCCCCTGAGGAAATTTAAACTCGTATTTTTGGGAGAGCAGAGCGGTGAGTCAGATCTTGGGCAGGTTTGGTGTCATCCATCCCTAATGCTAAACATGCGTATATGTAGAAGGCCATGTATGTAATCCTTACTGATTTTAAAAGTTTGGGCTGAATCTAGATGATGCGGCTGCCTGGCTTTGGGGTAATTTGACGCCCATGTGCATTTTGGCACAATCTGTGACTGTAGAAGATCTGATTAACCGGGAAGAAAAAAAAAACGCATGCATGTAAATTGCACCCTTGGATTAATTATAATCATCACGATCACTCAGCAATAATAGCCAACTGTGCTGCATATCCTTGAGGATTATTTAGCTGTCGCAAAGTGCCATATTGGCATCAAAGCAGGCGAAATGAATTCGGATGTTTTGATGTGCTGCAGTGACCGACAAATATGCTCAGCCTGTTTTCACATAACCGGTTTATTTCCCTCACATCGCTTATTTCCAACATAAACATCCTTTATTCCATTACATGACAAGAGTGCACCATTTTCCCTCACCTCTCGTGTTTTTCTGTCTATTTAGAGAAGATAATAAACAGTCCCCCATGTGTCAGTTCGGGACACACCCTAGGCTGGCGATGTCTGTAGCATCTCTAAACCTCGCAGTCTCCGGTTCGGTCCCATAAATAATCCAATAAAAACGGACTTGACAGCGCCACAACATTATACTATTTATTCAATAAGCTATCTATTCAGGGTGGGAACGAGTGCGTGTGTGATTTGGCGTGATGGCACAAATTCGGGAGGTGCTGATCGATAATGGTTTAGCGCTGTAAAGCTGCCTGAATACGTGTTCAGACATCAGACATCCAGAGTGGCAGCAGAGGAGCACATATCCCATAAAATACAG